TGTGTAAACTCAGCAAAATATTCTAAAAGAGTCCAGTAACCCATAATAGTATTGGTTCTTCCGCTTGACTGGCAATGTCAGAAACTGTTGACCTGAGTCCCCTACGCCGACAGATGTGTCAGACTTTAAAGGTATGATAATGAGCTGATTCCCCCCCTGGCCACTTAAGCTAATACTCAGAAGAATAGGCAGTGCAGGGTCTGAGTGCTTCATTATTTCTCCTGACAACATCAGGAGTAAATGTCTAAGTGCTCGAAGTTTACAAATAATTCATGAGTGGGAAGCCAGCCCCTGTGCAGCGTGCTCTGCCTCAACTCCACTTTGTACTCTAAACTGAAACGCAGAGTTCAACGGGCCCTTGTGGAAACTTCCCCCAGGATAAATGGAGTGGAAGCAAGCAGTACAATTTTATATGTTCTTTTTACCTTTATTCGTTTTCAGTACCTAGATCTGGAAAATGAAAATAAATAAATATCTTTTAGTGTGGAGGAGTTTCCTCACACCCTGATAAATAATGGTAAAATTTGCTTCGAATCCGAGGGAATATATGGGCCCTTATTGCTTCGGCCTCAGTGCAGCTGAGCTCGGGCATGGCCAGGGATTAAGGCCTAGTGGGGCTGTGTGACCTCTGGCACACTCTTCCATCAATTCTGAGCTGTTAGGTACTAAGCTGAGGAAGTGGCCCATGCCTCACTCATTACCACAAAGGTATTTCCAAGCTCCTAGCATCTTCCAAGCCTTTCTTCTTAAAGTAACTAAATCCTAGTAGAGAGGACATGGAGAAAGCATAGAAGGAGTAGAGTCACAAGGATGTAAGTAGAGTCAATGTGTAGTTGCCAGCATTTCCTTTTTTCCCTTATTTTTAAAACTAACATCTGGGGGAAGAAAACCCAATCTTTGAAGTATCCCAAGAACAGACACTCTTGTCCCTTTTTTTCCAAAAGAGGCATGAATTTCTCTTTCAGAAGGTCCGAAGGCATGAAAAGATTTAGTTTTACCAAACCATAAAAAAGTAAAACAATTTTCATTTAAAAATTGTGTAATTCAAATTACAACCAAAGCAAAGTGACTCACGCACGGGGAGGCCCAGGGAGTGAGCAGCAACAGTCCCGGCTGCGGCAGGCTGCTGTCCACGGAGAGCCTGGCCGCCTGGCCCCAGCCACCCGGCTCGGTGTCGTGCACGCCTGATCCTCGCCCACTCAGGAAACAAGGTGCTCTTCACCTGTACAAGCTTGCTCGTTAAAGGGATGCAAAATTACAAAGAGGCACTGCGTGTCATATGCAAGGAAGCAGAAAGAATTTTGGTGAATTGTGCCATTCTTGAATACTTTGATTTTAATGTGCAACTATGGTTTTGTGTAAAGATGTACAGACCTAGTGAATTGTTAATGTACCTGGACACTTATCTTTACAGGTGAAGGGGACACCACACCTACAATCAATTTAGACCGTGAGTAGTCTTTCCAAATACAAAGTATACCTGCATCTCTTGCACAAAATATGCTGTCATCCTCTCTTCACAGCAAATAGCACTTGAATAATGTCCATCATGAAAACAAAGTGGTCACTTTACTTGTAATAAATGTGAATTTTCGTATGTGTAGCTGTAAGAAAATTTCCAGGCTACTTCATATGAGTTTGAAAAGAGCACTGGCATTTGCATTTAGTTTGGGACCTGCATATACAGGGCCACTGCTGTGTGCACCCTCCAAGGGAGCCTGGCAGGCACACTGAGTGCAGCAGAAGGAGCCCAGAGGCTGGAGGATGCCGTGCATGCCATTTGCCTCTGTCTGTCTGTCTGTCTGTCTGTCTGTCTGTCTGTCTGTCTGTCTGTCTCTGTCTCTGTCTCTGTCTCTGTCTCTCTTTCTTTCTCTCTCTCTCACTCTCATTCTCACTCGCTCGCTCGCTCTCGCTCTCTCTCTGGTTCTGTCTTTCAAGCTACTTGCAAACCTCCCTGCCAGTAGGCAGAAGATGATGCTGTCGGAGACCAGTAGTCCTCGGTGGGAGAATTTGTTCCAGGCTGCTCGTTCTTAACTTTCATGTATTTCTGGCCCTGAACTAAGTTACTCTTTGGCAAAATCGCCTGCGATACCTAGGCTGAGGAGACGTTATCCTACATGTGTCCAGAATGTAAAGGATAAGCTGAGGAACACGGGGAGGGCCCGGGATCCATGCTCTTCAGGAATTCTGAGTTGAGTCACTGGGACATGGTGCTCTGCATGTAATAACATCACTTGGGAACAGTCTCAATAAGTATAAAGTTGGCAACACGTGCTAGCGAGCTCCCATTCTTACTGTGACAGACTCAGAACAACCAGGTCGTGTTGCCCTGTTCTGCTCAGGCTGTAGGCTCCTACTGACATTCAGACATAGCCATTGCAAAGTGCTTTACCTTATCATGAGACTCATGAGGGAGATACAGTGCACTCGACAAGCGTGGATTCAGCACACGCTGAGCAAAGGGCCTATCCCCTTCAGTTCTATTCTTAGCTGTGTGAGCCCGTTAGATTTTTGTATTGCTCAGCAACACACCTGAGGATGTCAACTGCAGGGCTGCGTGGGAAACTAAGATCACCCATTACCATTCATACAAGTGTTCTGGTGCAGTCATAGTAGGGCCATGCGTATAGCTATCGCTGTGCCAAAGAAGCTAAGAAGCACGGTTATCTCCTGTCGTTACATCAGATCTCTGTGTTTGATCCTGTTTGCAGATCCTGTAATATCTTGTGCCAAAACAAAGCAACTGCGAGTGGTTAATGGGATTCCAACACGAACTAATGTAGGATGGATGGTTAGCCTGAAGTACAGGTAATTATCAATAATAAACAACCATCCACATCTGAACTCTGCTGAGTCCTGTCCCAGCAGCATGGTCACCTGTGGTCAGGGAGTCTGCCCTCCAACAGGCGCTGGCCCTAGGCATGCAGAGAAGGATCGGTCCTCATCTGAGGAGCTCAGAGAAGGGTTGGGTCAGCTTCATCATAGAACCTGGAACCTGCACCTTGTGCCTCAGGGAGCCTTTATAAATGTCCACCAGGTTTCGCAGGTGTTGTCATCGTCTTTGATTCCAAGAGGCATTGGTTTGGGTTATACAGAAGCGACTGTGTAGGAAAGTCATAGTATTTATGAGACAAGCAGTAACTTTGTAATCTCAAATTACAATTTTATATCTAACATGTCTATACATAATCCTCTGAGACAAGTTATGTTTACTTTTAATTTTAATTGTCATTAAAAAATGACATTTTAAAATTTCACTGGATTTTATTATGAAAAAGATTCAGGCTCTTTCAGTAGTTGTACAGTCTTGATTTTATAATCAGTGTGGATAAGGAATTTCAGATATGCCCACTTCCTTCAGTGGCGTGCTCCCTATAAAATAGCTGCATATTATATCATAATAAAAAGTAAGCTTAGTAATTGTGCTATCAGAATTAGGTACTGAAAACACCAGTGCACTTAAAATTTAGCACACCTTACTGTCTATGTCATAGATGAGTCCATGTGGTCATTAGACTACCTAGGTCTCCAGCTATGTCTATCCAGATGTCACCATGTAACACACTCAAATGCGGCTGGCTTCAGCTGTGTTTTCCCTTGTGTGGTTGAGACCCGAGCCCTTCTATCTGAGCCTCTGTTCCCACTAAACATGGTGGCTTCCTTCCTCAGTGTTTCATGCCTCAACATGCCTCAAGCCGCAAGTCACAAGTAGTCTAACTCCTTTTTAACCAACCAACAAACAAATGAAAAGATACCCTTTCTGTTCCTTCACACTTAGGCTCCTAGCACAAGGAAATATGTCTCTCTAACCATTACAGTATATCTCCTATTATCTGTGGAATGACAGCAGAATGGAGACAGCTGGAAACTGAAGTACTTTATGGATCAGCAAATTCATGCATGATAGATCAGTCACTCTTTGTAGGACTTCAGGTGACCATAATGTTGTATAACTTCAGGTGACTGTAATGGTTCAGAATACAGCTTAAAGTTCTCTTTGAGTGTATCTTTGTCTCAAGCAATACTCTAGAAGATTTACTATTTATGCCACTAATTCTAGTGTAGCTGCAATTCAGACTTGTGGTACCGAAACAGAATTATGACAGAATTATGAAGCAATCCAGGATATGAGTGATCGTACAATACAATATGAAGATTTAATAAAGACCAAATCTTTCTAGTTTTTAATTTTATTTTAGAAAGTGATCTTTACAAAAGAAATTTAAGTGAATACAAACTTAAGTTCCTTATTATAGCAAATATTTGAAGGATTCACATCTCTCAGTTACTTAGTGGTTCTTTCCTAACTCGTAATCCCAGAGAGTAATGCAACGGAGACTCCTGAGTTACACTTAGCAACCAAAGACAGCAAGATGCATTTCTGCTACTCTTCATTCCCAGGGATCCCAGGAAGTCTTTTCATAAGCTCAGACTACTTCCAACTTTTAGAATTGTTTTCTTTTAAATCCATGTTCCTAGTGACAACATCTGTTTGGTTATTTTTCCAAAATACATACTGAGAGAAGAAAAATTAAAAGTCTGTATTTACTCTTCTCCCTCTGTGTGGTAGTGGCCATAAATAACCCTGCTCCTAGCCTAAGCATCTTCTAGTATTACCCTCTAAAGCACTGAACATCTGTCTTCCTTGGAAACGTAAATCCTAAAAGTTGTACGTTTCCATGTTTCTGCCAAAAATGAATGGACTTACAGATTTTGGATATCTGCAAATAAATGTACTAGTGCTTATTATTTCCTATAAACATTTTACACATTCCTAAATGACATGTCTGGCAAGTTTGCTTTACTTTTAAGAAATAGTGCAATGAAATCTTATATTGTGAATCTTACACCAAACAGATATTTTTCAATCTCAGTAATATTCCAACATTTCAAACTTAAATAATTATAGGAAAGAGGGAATAATAGCACACGTCACTGCTGCTGAATTGTTTCCAGGGTAAAGTAAGGCCCGAACTTAATAACCATTAATAACCATATGAAATTACAAATAGTTCAAAGTTTTGTCATTCTATTACATAATTACAGAAGGTTCTTTTATATCACAAAGATAAATGTATTTGTGGAAAGTAAATATTGTTGTTCAGTGACAGTTCTTTAAATCACAAAATTTATTTAATAAAATTATAGTCAAGTTATTAAAAATTTTAATGTTATCATCCCCAAATTTCACCCTTGAGATAGGAAGACTGCTACTGTTTATTATAATGGAGTGAATGTCTATATTTTTCTTTTTACTGCATTTATTTTTAACAAGTTGAGCCATCGGCTTTGCCTGAGTTGGCAGCCGCTCCTTTTGTGCAGATGTTCCTTGTTTTCTTTCCTCTTTTCTTAGAAATAAACATATCTGTGGAGGATCCTTGATTAAGGAAAGTTGGATCCTTACTGCGAGACAGTGTTTCCCTGCAAGGTAAATCTTTTTAAATTGGTATTCGTTTGCAGTATTTGGAAGTAAGTACCTCCTTCTCCCTTGTTTTAAAACATTATTTTATTGGCACATTTTAGATGTACATATCGACCCCACTCGTCATAGGGAAACTGGGCCTGCGCAGGATATATCGTAATTCCTTTTTTTACTCCACTCCTCTCCCTTCCCTTCAACCCCTCCTCCCCTCTGTATTTTAGAGCCTAGAATGTGCCTTTATTTTGCAGAGATTCACAAGCATGAGATGATCAAGTTAAGTTTTTAAAATTTAGCTTACAAGCTTCAACCGCACTCATATTTTCATATTTCGCGTCGCCTCAATTTACTGCTTTTCATTCTGGTCTGCTCTCACTTGGGAAAAATGTTTCTGTACACTATGTAAATAAATTATGTCCCAGCCGCCCACTTGCATTCTTACTGCCACAGAGAAACTCTTTTCTCTAAATTATCACCAAATCGTCTCTCTCTTTGCTTCTCCCTTCTTTTGTCTCACGAGCCTCAGAATTATCCTGGGAATAGATTTGGTGAAAATTAGCCATAAGGGAACAGGAGAAGGCTGCTGTAAACTCACTTCCTAGTTCCTATCGAGGTCACTCTGATTTTGTTTGTTCAAGGCTTCAATCCTCATGATTAAGCCAAATATACACACAGCTGAGATAAGGCACCGTTTGCAGAGACATTGTAACTCCTGCAACAAATTTTACCTGAATGTTCATAAGTGACTTTCTCCCTCGCAGGTGTAATCACAGGTGTTTTCTAGTAGTCATTTAGATTTCAGCAATTTAAAGCCCCTTTTGCTTGTGTGTGCTTGGAGGCTTCGAATCTCCTGTAACGAACATGTTGCACTTTTTGGGGGACAGGATTTTGTTGTGTCCCTTGGGTGGCTTTGAACTGGTGGTCATGCTCCTGCCTTGGCCTCCTGAGTGTTGGGGATTGTTATCATACTTTGAATCATATTTTAAATTATTCATTTTATAAACTAAAGCAAGCATATTTACAAATATTATTACATGCAAATAATATTGCACAGTTGGAACTATGATTTAGCTGCTTTTTTTTCAACTTAGAAACAAAGACTTAAAGGACTACGAAGCCTGGCTCGGGATCCACGACGTGCTCGGGCGCGGAGACGAGAGGCACAGGCAGATCCGGAATGTGTCCCAGCTGGTGTACGGGCCCGAAGGGTCGGACCTGGTGCTGCTCAAGCTTGCCAGGTGAGCCCCGCCTCCGCCGTGCGCAGGACAGCAGGAGGGCCGAAGGGTATCCCGTCAGCTGTGCGGCACCCTTCCTGTCCTTGTGTGTTGTTATCTTGTATGTTGCATGTCACCTGGGTACATGCACATGTGTGTGCCATGTTGGTGCAGCAAAGACTACTTGATAGCTGTCAAACATGAATAAATGAAGCGGGGCCAACAGTCTAATCAGCCTGCTTTTAAACTGAAGCTTAGTGAGCAATTGCTTGATAACTTTGAAAGTGTAAAATAATATTGTTTTTCCAAAGTGAAGTATTTATTCTTAAACAGGGACAAGTAAATATTCATTTCTGTACTACTCACTCTAAATTTGGTCATTATCATTAGACGTTCCTTTTCTCCATTTTGAAATAAGTGAGATTTTATTCTCTCTAAACATTACCCGCAAACTTCACATTTCCGTTGCTGAGGTTCTGTTGAGCTCAGGCCCAACGGCACCGTTCTGTCTCTTCCCTTCAGGCCTGCGGTCCTGGACGACTTCGTTAGCACCATCGACCTGCCTAACTATGGGTGCACAATTCCGGAGAAGACCACCTGCAGTGTTTATGGCTGGGGCTACACTGGACGTAAGTGGCTTTTCCACAGATGAGGCAAGGTGGTGTTGCTTCCACCTGGAGCCGCGGGCTGCGCGTCCCCCGCGCCCGGCCGCGCCCCTGACCGCGCCGCTTTGCCCTCGCAGTGATCAGCGCGGACGGCCTGCTGCGCGTGGCTCACCTCTACATCATGGGCAACGAGAGGTGCGCCCAGCACCACCAGGGCAAGGTGACACTGGACGAGTCGGAGATATGCGCCGGGGCTGAGAAGATCGGCTCGGGGCCGTGCGAGGTAACAGCGGGCTCGTTAGGACAGATACGAGTGACCACGCAGCTTCCTGCAGGCAGGAGGTAGCCGTGAACGGGTTCGGGTCTCTGTTGGAATCAAGAGTGAAACATCCCGTGCCTCACTCTGCACGCACTCCAGGGACAGCTGCCTTTCATGGCGATGCGTGTAAGCAACACCCGACGGGAGGCTGTTCCCCATAGAGGGACCTCAGTCTGTGGGATGCCATGGCTCGCGTTGTCATAAGGTTTTCCTGAGCTTATCTGATCTTCCCAAACTTTCCCTAAGTGAACTTCATGGAAATGTTATGAGATGTGTGCCTGTTTTTAAACTTTCTTTTTTTTTTTCTTTTTTAAACTTTCAAATGTGGTTTTGCTTAGTGTGTGTGTGTGTGTGTGTGTGTGTGTGTGTGTGTGTGTAAATAAATTCTGTTTTTAGAACTTTAAGGTCAGAGTGTGCAACTCCATGAGTTTGGGCATTTGTGTTTGTCAGGCAACTGTTCTTTCCGCTTGGCAGGGTCCTGCCCCTGCTCCACACAGACAAGCTGCCCGCTGTGGCCTCAGATGTGCCTGGGACGGGAGAGGCCTGCTCTCGAGCCCAGAGCCCCGCGCCGGCGGGGAAGCTTGCAGGAGAGCGTGAGCTGAGTTCAGTGACAGTGGAATGTTGACTGTGAGAACACGTGCGCCCACAGTCTGGATCATAAATATGTATTGAACCGTGTGTGGGGTTGCCTTGCATCGAGCTCTTTGTTCCTGGAGAGAAAACATTTACTAAGTTAACGGTGGTTTAGAACTGTTTTTGAAAAATATGATTAGAAACAGATTATGTGTTTATAAACACTTTCAAATTTGGTGTCTGTCCAGGAAATGAGCGTTATTGTCGTACAAGGAAAAATCTAACTAGGAGAGAAAAGACAGCCCTCTCTTTAGCCCTAAGAATTCTGTAAACTCACGTTTTGCAAGCTGGATCCAGCCCTGAGCTCACGGAGAGCCCAGCGCTCACTCTCCCTGGCTCACCCGGACAGCATGGCATCTTATTTCTTGGAAATAAAACTTCAAAATAATATACAGAATTATTTTAATAATTATGGACTTTTTATTTAATGTGATAAAAATCATCTGAGAACCATTGGGGAAAAACAATAAATAGTTTTATAAATAAATAAAAATGTAATGGTTTAATAACTGAACTCATACCAGAATTATTTTTACTCATAATTTCTGTGCATTTTTCAAATTTTCCATTTTAAACACAGTGAGACTACTGGGAGATAAAAAAAAAAAACATGAATAGATTTTATCTAGCCAATATCAATGGTTGCTTTTCCACGTTCAATAAAGGGAAAACACACTTTAAAGGATAAGTTAACATTTTGGAAAAAGTGAGCTGTTCTTATGTGAACACTATGTGTGGCCGGACAGTTTGTCCTTGTACTTATCTTGGACTTCCTCAGCTTGTTCCACAGCAGAACAACCATGGCCAAAGAGGCCAGCTTTTGTCTCTGTGGTTCAGCTGCAGTGCGTCCCTGTGTCTGAGCTCGCGCGCTCTTGGGATGCACGTCAGTAGAGGATGGTGTCGCTGGGCCACATGCATTATCTCTGAGTTAACGTCTGCTTCCCCACCTCCTCCTTCCCAGGGGGATTACGGCGGCCCGCTGATCTGTGAGCAGCACAAGATGCAGATGATTCTTGGCGTCATCATTCCTGGCCGAGGCTGCGCCGTCCCCAGTCGCCCTGGCATCTTTGTCCGAGTAGCCTATTATGCAAAGTGGATACACAAAATAATCCTGACGTATAGGGTGCCGCAGTCCTAGCTGTGATGCATGCCTCTGAAGTGCACATCAGGACTCGGCAACTGCGCAAGAAGATTTCAGAGAACGTGGAGTGGAATTGTACCGAAAGCAACTACTTGAGTGTCATGTTTGTTAAGATACTCACTAATATATAAGGGTGTTTTCTGTTGTTTGTTTGTCAGTGTTATTTTGTAAATGTTGAAGTGAACTAAGGTACATGCATGTGCAGTAACATAATTCCTGAAGATACTTGAATGGATTAAAAAATGCAAAAAGTATACTTGCTGGATTATAAAAGATTTAATGGAATAGGTCAATTAATCTTTTCACGCTGCTTTTCAAGGTTAGTTTCTTAATGATGAATAAACCATACATTAAGGAATATTTTAACCTCACCCAAACAATTTATACCTTGTGATCTTAAATTGTAACTCTGTATTAAATTCTATTATCTTTCATGTACCATATGTGATAGCTCATTAATTCTTTTCACTGTGTACCCAGAACAGTGGTGCACAAACTCACTTTTATGAAACTCCATACTACTTCCTGTACCTGGGCACGCTGGTGCTGAGAAAGTTTGTCCAAGTCGCGGTGTATCTAGTGTAATCTCTCAGTGCTTTAGAGGTATGGATCTGTAATTTTTCCTCTAGAACAAATGAGAACTTTCTAGAGATCAGTAGAGATGTTAAGAGAACAGATGAGAGAAGCAATGGTCTTCTGTATGTAACCTGTAGATGACTTCTACTGGAGGGTTTGTAAACTGAGGTTAGGACACAGAGAGCTAAGGATTTCCTAATCTAGGTGTTTACATATTTATTATCCTCATTGTGTCATGTGCTTTCTGACTCTTAAAGGGAAGAGAATGATGCATATATTGATACTATTTCTTTCCTCCAACTTACAGTCACATATTTGTGCAAGGTCTCTGTAGATCTGTGATCCAAAGTATTTCTTAAATTTTCCAATTGTGCCTAACTTGAAGAAAGGTAAAATGTATTGGCCATTTAAAATGCATTAAAATAGCTTAATTCCAAGACTTTCTTCTGTGACTAGATTCTAGCTCAAACTCCCTAA